TAATTCGATTTGTTTAATTTGGATTGTCTTGGATTTTTTAATTTTTTTTGTTGGATTAATCATTATAACATTTTGTTAAAAATGTAAAAGTAATTATCACTGGTTCACTACATTACATCAATATTCATCGCATATCGAATGTTGCATTGTTTCAATATCTATCAACAAATTATCCAATAAACAAGTAAAAATTATGTAACTATTATTTGGTGTTTGCTAGATATGTTATAATATACTGTGAACACTATAAGGATACGTTATATAAGCATGAATTGTAAGAACATCGTTGGTCACCACGTGCGCGCTCGATCGTCAGGTTAAGCAACAGTTTAGTGCGGCCAGGACATGGATGGTGACCAGTAGTGGTTTATATCGCTTGGGATCGAAATTATCGCAGGAGGATTCATGAAAGTTTGGAATGTGTTGACAACCTTCGATATCTAGTAGTTTATGAGACATGAGAAAATTAGGAATATAAGTATATTTTCGTAAACATTATGATTTTCTCATTTTTCACCTTCGCATAATAATTCTCAGTATTTGATTACTATCAATATTTAATATTGATTTTATTATCAATATTCACCAGAAATTAAATACTGGCCAAAAAATTACTGAATTATTGGTAATGTTTAATTATTAATAATTTTTCAGTATTTCTTAGTATGATATTTCTATAAGGGAAGTATGAACACATATGTAAATATGTAGGTAGATAAAGAAATAGAAAAAGAAATACAACTCGATGTTATATATGCAGTAGTATTTATTAATTGGTTAACTAATAAAAATGTATTTTAACTTTTGTATTACATAATATTTTCGAGCAACGTAATACGTAATAGGGATGTAGCGTAAAGTAATACTTTCACATCTAGCTTGGGGCCTGACTCGCAGGACAGTATTGTTAAAATTCCTGCAGCAATCAGACTTCAGTAAACAGAGATGGAAGGTGTCCTACTATTGTCTGCCTCTCACTCTACATCTGTTCCTATCCTCACCATCATTTAGCAATCCATTCTATATGTTGATGCGGGGTGTATATCAGTTGGACACGGGGCAATTGGACACAGTCCAATTACAAGTCGCTGTTCCAAGGGACCCTACAAATGTCTCTAATCACATGGTGCTGTGATTGGCTGTGTCCAAATGCACCGTGTCCAAGTGCACCGCTCCCGTTGATGCGTCACTCTGATTAGATGCTCTCTAGTCAAGACATGGATGGGTGACCGGCATACCGCTTTGGATTCGAAATTGTCGAAGGAGGATTCACGAAAGTTTTAATATCACGAATTTTACGAATATGTTTAACAATTTTCGGTTGCTAGCAGTTATGAAACATGAGAAAATTAGGAATTAGGTTTTTTCCGCTACGCGGAAAACTTTTAAGCAGATATTTTTACATTATATTAAGGTTACATTTATGCAGGTTGATTCAATATTTGTCAATGTTACTGCAATATTAGCATTGTTGCAATTCAATATTTTTTCAACATTTATTCAAAATTACTATGCTGTATGGGATATGATTCAAATCTGATTATTACGCTTTCTACATATGCTATGTAGGAAGCGTTAATCAGATCTGTATCATATATAACGTTATATCTGATTATATATGAAAGAGCTGATCAAATCTTGACAAAATCAAGAAGTTTGCTCGAATTGCTTGTACTATTCACACTTACACCTAATGTCCGTTGCAAACTAATACACCCCAAACAATACAAATTTTCCAAAATACGTTTTGAAGACGCTTTTAGGACGGAGAGACGTCATCAGAATATTTTTAGGATGTACTTTGAAAGTGTGAACTGTCTGAAAATAGCTAATATCCAATAAGTTTATTCGCATTAACTGAACTTTTTACACTTTCACACTTAGTGCATATTAATTCTATAGAAGTTCTAAAAATAACGTCATGATTTCCATTCGTGTTACGAGTGTAAATGCAATTCTGATACACTTTTTACACTTGGTCCCGAGTAAAGCCAGCAGCACATGGCGCTTGTTTTCATGCTAGATTGCTTGCTGATTGGTGCATTTCTGAAGATGGATGGAAATACACCAATCAAAACAGTATTTCCATCCAGTAAGCAATCCAGCACGAAAACAAGCATCGTGTGCCACTGACTTAAGAGTGAAAGGTGTATCAGAATTGCATTTACACTCGTAACACGAATGGAAATCATGACGTCATTTTTAGAACCTCTAAAAAATTAATGCACTAAGTGTGAAAGTGTAAAAAATTCAATTAATGCGAATAAACTTATTGGATATTAACTATTTTCAGACAGCTTACATCTTCAAAGGACGTCCTAAAAATATTCTGATGACGTCCCTCCGTCCTAAAAGCATCTTCAGAACGTATTTTGGAAAATTTGTGTTATTTGGGGTGTGCAACAGGCATTAGGTGTAAAAGTGTGAATAGTACAAGCAACTCGACAAATCTCATATCTGGCTTTTATTTGGACTTTTTTTTCCGGGCTGATAATGGCCTGGTTTATATCGTGCACTTGATACTAAATAGTAACTTTCTATTAGATAATCTTAGTATCGACAATGCATATCAACAGCGACGCATTCTCTCAATATAATACGTTTTTTTGATGAGTATTATACCAACTTAATATATCGTTGTTTATATATATCGTCGATATTAAGATTATCTAATAGAAAGTTACTATTTAGTACGCGTATCAAGTGCACGATGTAAACCAAGCCAATAGACTCTGTTGTTGTCGGTGAAAAACCCAAGGTCACACGTGAACTGAATATGATATCTATAAAAGAAGGTAACGTAGATTAACCCTTTAAAAAGTCATTGTTGCGTCATTTTATATAAAAAAATGTCCATCAAAACGTAATACATATGACGTCTCTGGTCTGTGACTTACAAAGAGATGCCACAACCTGCTAAATCGATTTCTAAACGAGTCATAGCACGTTTGCTAGCTGCGATGTTAAGCATCAACATCCTAATTGAGGTTTGTGCCAATGGGCCTTTGTGAGAAATTACAGCAGACATTAGACGTTTCTATAACGTTTCTTCAACGTTGAATTTATATTTTGCAATGTTAGTACATCTCAATATTGAAATTAAACATTTATAAAATATGGATTCAACATTTCTGTGCTGTATAGGGTGTATACTGGTGGTTTATTTTTCCAACCGCATTATTGTAATAAGTTAAAATGAGATAAAATCTATTCAATAAAAAATAATAAACTTATTACAATAAGTTATAACATAAATATGAATATATAAAATGTATACTTCAACATTACGTCAACTTAAATTATATATATAGTTATTTATAACAATATTCTATATATTGCAATATTAAAACAGTACAATATTATATTTGTTACAAAAAAGAATATAATAATATATGGAAGGAGAATGTATAGCTCTATTTTGTGTATATTTATAAAACTTATAAATATAGTATATATATATATATATATATATATATATATATATATATATATATATATA